AAAGGAGATATCGAAGAAAAATTTTTAACGTTTATGAAAGAGCAAATGACAGGCTATCTCCCCATGTATTTATCTCAATCTTGACCATTCTGACGAAAACTAACTTTTTTGAGGGGGGGGGGGGGGTGGCCTTAATAGACTACAAGAACATAGTCTATTCTTGTAATCTGTACTTTTCTTTTTGTAAAATACAGTATTAAATATTATATTTTTATACTTACATAGATTAGTCTGACGAGGAAGCCTTTCCATGTGCTAAAAAGCTTTTGAGCTCAAATTTCGTCCACAAGTAGACGATATTTAGACTAGAAAGTTCCTAAGAGGATATCAATGCAAGTTGCGATTTGGTTAAGATATTGATATTTTACTGTAATTGTGCTGAAGTACTCCACTTTTTCAATAAAATCAAAGCATCAATCAGATTAGCTTGCCTACAAAGTTTCAGAGTTTTTGGACAAATTATCTTTGAGATATGACATTTCCAAAATATCCATGCATAACACAATTATATAGAAAAGCATCCTTCTGCTAACACACTGGTATCTCGAAGATAATTTATTCAAAATTACTAAAACTTTGTAGGCAAGCTAATCTGCTTGATACTTTGATGTAGGCAAAGTTTCAGGTCAAAAGTCAAAATTTTAATTTTACCGAAAAAGTGTAGAACTCCAGCATAATTACAGTAAAATGTCAATATCTCAGCCAAATCGCAACTTGTACTCATATTATCTTAGGATTTTTCTATTCTATACATCGTCTACTTGTGGATGAAATTTGAGCTCAAAAGCTTTTTAGTATCTGACGAGGTTTTCTCGTGAGTGTTTTTTAAATTTAATTCAATTGTGAAATTTAGAAAAATAAAACTTCTTATCTTTAAATTTTAGTATTTAGCATCAATTGAAGAACGTAAAATAAAAACATTAGTAGCTCAAGTAGTTGAAATGCAAATAAAAAAACTTGAAATAAAATTACGACATTTTGAAGAACTTGAATCAATAATGGATCGTGAACGTGAAATGATTGAACTTCAACGACAACAATTATTACAAGAAAGACAACAATATCAATTTGAACAAATAAAAACATCTGAATTTAAACATCGACAAATATTTAATGATAAACCATCATCATCATCATCACCACCACCATCATCTTCACATGTTACCAATGGCAATGATACACATTTACAAAGTGAAGAATCAATGGATTCACAACAAAGTGATGGTAAATAATTTTTATAGATTTTTTTTTTAAAAATATTTAATAAAACTTTTATTTATTTTAGCTTCACCTGCTCAACTGTTACTAAGAAATGAAGGTAAATTCAAATCTCATTCGCTCGCTTTATTTATGCTTTACATCCGTTTTCCTAGTTGTTGTAGTTTAATAGATGTTGTATGTTATAGATTAATCAAACAAAAAAAGAAATGATCTAACTATATATAACGCGCTCTTTTGCTGGCCAGAAAATAATGAAAAAAAAAAATTATATGCTTTAGAATGTAATATTATTATTTTTAGTTAAAATGTATAAATAACATTTATTTAAAAACATAAAAAAATAATTCGATTTTTGCTTTAATGCTTCGTTTTTTTTTCCCACAAAATGTGTTAATTAATTAGAAAGAAATATTTTTATTTTTGCTTTGATTATTTGTAGTATATTCATCTTTGTATAGTTGTCGTGTTAGTTTTCTCCATTTTCGTATTGATATTATCTGGCCAGATAGAGAGTACATATACTTTGTTTCTTGTCTTTGTTTATCTTCTATGTATGATCCATTACCTCTAAAATTGTTTTTATATATATATATATATACATTAGTATTTTCGCATAAAATTCAACCAATAAATTGATGGATTTTTTTCTTTGTTTTTTTTTTTTTTGCAATTTCAGGCAGTACAGTAGAAACACCAACAACATCATCTCTTCCTAATGAAAAAATGCTTATTGGAAACACCGGTGAAAATGATGATGATTCAAATAATATTTCTCCATTCATAGAGAATGACAATATAAATAATAATAATAATTATTAAGAAACTTTTTTTTGTGTGTGTGTGTGTGTGTGTGTATGTGTGCATTTTCTCTCATTGTATTGTTATTATTTTTTTTTTTCTTTTGAATGTGTTGTTCTGTAAAACTAAAAACAAAAAAAAATAACTTCATCAGCCAAGCGTTTAAAACTCATTCGAATGATCTTTGTGTTTTTTTTTCATTGTCTGTTAGAATTCGATTTTTTTGTTGTTTCTTTTACATTGCTCTTTACCAATTACTTACACAAAACATATTGAATGTGTGTCAAGAAATTTTCTATGTATTTTGCTAGAACTAAAACAAAAAAGAAAAAAAAAAAACACAACAAAGAAATTTATTATTAAACATTAAAATAAAAACAATCACAACAACAACAACAACAACAATAATTGATTATTATTTCTAGGTATTTTTTCGGATAATAATAGTGAACTATTTGATGAACAAGATGAAAGTTCAATGTCTTCATCATCATCATTTTTTTATTCCAAAAATCGAACTTTAACATGTCGAACTCTAGGCAATTTTTCAAATAATTCAAAACGATATGGATTAAATGATACATTTAATAATGGTATTAATACTCATTTATCTCATACAAATAGACGTAAGTCAGATGATGATAAACGACCTTATCAATGTTTAATATGTTCAAAAAGATTTAAACATAAACATCATTTAAAAGAACATGAAAGATTACATTCAGGTGAAAAACCTTATACATGTGATAAATGTGGCAAACGATTTAGTCATTCGGGTATGTTTTTTTTTTTCCATTAAAAAAAATATATATTTCATAACAAAATTTTAAATAATAAGCGATCGAAGAGTAATTAGATAAGATGTTTACTCATTTTTCAACCACTGAAAGGAGTTTGCAGAAATTTAAATCAGAGTTTTGTATTCTTTTCGAATATAAGTTCAAAAATAACTTTGATGCGTCAAAAATTATCTAAAGTAGAAATGAAAATTATTTCTAATATAAAGAATGAAAGAGCAAACATTTCTCAATAAAATGGTATACTAATGATTAGTCTACTGGAAGCCATTGGTTCATGGTGAATATTTCGGTTGAAGAACATCATGTTAATTTTCTCGATTTTTTATGAAAAACAAACTTATAAAGACTATTGCTGCTAAAAATATCAATTTTCTCTAGTAAAGCTTAATTTTTGATTCTAACTCAATGTTTTCAAATTTCTATAGGCTCCTTTAAGTGACTGAAAAATGAATGAACATTTTATCTAATTACTTTTCGATTGACTGTTAGGATTCAATTTTCAGATGAATCATTACTCATAAATATTTCGATTATAAATTATCGACATTTTAACAGTTGATAATAGTAATTCTCTTATTTCATCTTATCCCAATGCGTAGAAACATGCCGAACTAAGATTAACGAAAGCAATACGAGTATAGGTTTGCACGTGAAAGACACTATAAAACTATTGTCTTTATATTTTAGTCTCGTATATTGGTATAAGTCAGCTTCAAATTTCTATTAAATCGATTAAATCTATCACAATACCAATGCCAATATCATTTGGTATTGAACAGTATTTAGTATGAATCTTCCCCTCTGCAAAAGATAACCTTTCGATGCAGGCTAGTTTTTTGCTACCATTACTTTGCTGATATTCAAATGGGCGTTATTAGCAACTAACGAGAGAAGGTTCTCAACTGATTCACGCTGTTTTCAATGATATTTTGCCCCATATGTCGGGAACAGTATTCTAAGAGAAATCCTAAAAGTGTATGGGTTGATGAGGCTTCCTTTGAAGGTTACAATCTGAAATTTTGTTATGATCATTAGAGTACTTTAAAAGTTTCAGTGGAAAAAAAATGTTTTCTTTTGGAAATATTCAACTTAAAAAAAAGTTCATCTTTCAAGACTTCATCAATCCAAACACTCTTAGAATTTTTCTTAGAATACTGTTCCTAACATATGGACAAAATATCATTGAAAACGCTATGGATCAGTTGGGCACCTTCTCTCGTAAGTGCTGGAAAATCAAGTATTTAGATACAACTTACCAAATCTGCTGGATTTTAGAAGTCTCATGTTCTTCTATTATGCCTTGTGAAATTTTTCTTGTAGGCAGAGTTCTAATCTAGAATAACTTTCTATTCTGGAGGCTGGGAGATGAGGTTTGACTGGTGCTAGTACCTACTTTAGCCAATATCAATGCCTATACCACTTAATACTGTATTGATATCGGCAACCCAGTTTTGAATGACACATAATTTCGACCTCAATAGGATTCGAATAGAAACGTAATAGCCTCGTCCTCTTTATATGAGTCGTGTTATATATTACGGAAATCGACAATGTGAGAAATATATTGGAGTAAGAAAAATATCGAAGGTATGATACATATTAAACATTTGTTCTTGAACTGATATATATCCTTGTGTGATCCTAAAACACTATTAGAAAAGTCTTTTGCATATATCAATACCTTAACTAATATCAGGAGAGAATTATTTTCAGCTCCCTCTGTTGATTAAAACTTTTTTAAAATCAGTTTTATTAAGTTTTATTCTTGAAATTTTATTGTTGTTTAGGTTCATATTCTCAACACATTAATCAACGTAATAAATATTGTCGACCTGATGAACCAAATGTAGATTTTGATTAAATAATAGAACAATAATATTTATACTTCTTCTTTTTTTTTGCTCTGACAGAACAAAACAGTTTTGTGTAAATACAATTATTTTAAATGTGATATTTTTGAAATCTTCCGAACAGTATTTATATAAGATAGACACTTAAGATTTATATAAGAACAAATATTCTGACAAATGCATTTTTCAGTTTTTATTTTTTATTTCGCAATATATTTAAGTCTTTTGCTTTTTTTTTTTACATTTTATTCTAGAAATAATTTTTTAAATACAATAATAACAAAAAAAACCTAGACACGTTTTATATAATGTCTAAATTTTTTTATTGTTTCTAATAAATTAACATTAATAAACTACTAATAATCAGTACTACGGACATAGTTATTGTTATTGCTGATGATGAAATATTAATTGATTTTATATCTCGACATGAACCTGAAACACAACGAAGTTTTGTTGAACAAAAAATTCCACCTTGACGTTGACATGTTAATTCTGCAAGTCGACTTCTACTATTCCATAAACCTTTACAACGATTATGATTAAAATATAAATCAAGATGATTATTATCTAATGCACCAACACCAACTTGTATTGTACCTTGTCGTATAGCAAGAGTTGTTCGTTGATGATCAAATATAAATGGTCCATTTGATTCACAATTTTCTTTTGGTGAATTACATTCACATGAATCAATTATATATATTCCACTTAAATTTTCACTTGAAATTTGTATTATAATAATTAAATTTATAAGAAATATAACAATTGAATGAAACATGTTATAATAAATTTAAAACAAAAATGAACGAAATTTATATATGAGAATATTTGCATGTAATTGATATTTTAAGCTGGAGGATTTTCTATATAATTGATTGTATAACAAAAAAAGATTAGAACTAGAAGTAATTTAATATATATATACAAAAAGAAATATTGAACATTTTATTTCAGGGTTAAATCTTCAACTAAATTTTAATTTGATCATAAACGATACTATACTATATATATATATATGTGTGTGTGAAAAGAACGATGTGTAATAAGATATTGAGTAATATTTTATGAATTCAAGCTTACATCAGTTGTTTTATAAGCATACGCGAATAAGGATATGTTCAAATTTTTCTTAGGAAGATTATAGCTCGAAATTTCTTTAATCGATCCATAACATAATCAGATAAAGTAGTCCAAATTTGATTTTGATATACAGGGTGTTCCGAAAATCATGACCACTTAACAAATGCATATAACTTCATTATTAATCAAACTTTATCTAATAATTTTTTTTATTTGAAAGAGGAGATTAATAAGTTTTTATTCATCAAGAAAAAGTTGATAAATATTGTTCAAAGGATTACCTCTAACGTCAATACAAAAATTTAGACGTTTCACAATTTCTGAAAAAATACCGGGTGGGCCATAATGAATGGCTGTGCTTTGCATCCTATATTTTCATCACTTATTTCGCCTTATTAAAGAAAACCGAATATACCAAAAGATGCAGCGTGAAAAGTTCTACAATTTACATAAGATCATTTATCTTATAGTTGCACATTGTTTTCAAAATGAGCAAAATTTTGAGCGATCAAATTTCGACCGTACGAAAATTGATCACAGAGAATTTTGCTTTTTTTTTAAAAATAATTACAATAAGTTTTACTATGCAAATTGTAGAGCCTTTCACGCTACATCTTCTAGCATAGTTTGCTTTTCTTTTGAGAAAGCATATCATAGGATGAAAAGATGAAAGAATAAAAAAATGAATTCGTTCTGTATCAAAAAAAAATAGTTATCTTTTTTCGCATAATCGAAATTTGGCCACTCAAAATTTTGCCCATTTTGAAAACAAAAAGTGCAACTATAAAATAAGCGGTCTTATGTAAATTGTAGAGCTTTTCATGCTGCATCTAGTGATATGTTTTGTTTTTTAAATACAACTTGTTTAGAGGTAAAAAATAAAACACAAAGTGCAGCCATTTATTCTGGGTCATCCGGTAATATAAATTACAGATGTAACATTGTTGTATTATTCTTATTGATTATTTTTGGATAATATTTTAATAAAAAATAACATAGAAGTCTTGAATGTGATCCGATTTAATAATTTTGTTTAATGCTATATTTTATCTCGGATGAATTTTTATTTATCTGTTAACATATGTTTAACTATTTTTCTCAAGGTACTATTAAAATAATAAGTCTATCCATTTTGATTATCTTCAGTTTATTTACAACCAGATAAGAATTGAAAATTTTCAAAATTAGTAATATGTATTCCATAAAATAAGTTTTTTTTGTTTTTAAGAGTATTATTAAGGAATCAATCATGATAAATTGTTTCTATATGATTAATAGTATATCCGATTTTTATTAATATTGAAATGAATGTGGTAAAAAATGTTGGGATTTTAATGACTTGATTTTGTTAGAAAGTAATATACTGATAGATTGATTATAGCTGTTCTTGCACTCAGTCGAAAAGTAAAATCAATATAATCATATGTAACTTGAATGCATAGGAGCATTATTTGTTGGACTTTATGTGTTTTTTTTTTTGTCTGTAAAAATTTTTTATCAAACAATGCCGAACAGCAACAATATAGAAGCATAACAATGTATAATGTTATAAGTATATAAAAATTTCAACAGAAAACAAGCGTTTCGCAACAATGCACTACGTAAAAATTATAAGATTGTATCGAATTTTTCTATGAAAATATACATGATGTTTAAGAATCTAACATTTACCAGCAAATAAAATAAATATAACGAAAAATCACCCATAACATATTTGTATATGCTACTTTTTCTCATCATACTTTCAATAATAAAATCATAAAATTTAACAATTCAATTTTTGCCTTGAAAAATCTATTTATATAAAAAATAAAATAGTATAATTAAAAATCCAGTTTCAATAATATCACACCTCAATTATATATATTCAAAAAAAAATCGTGTTTGTTTACTAAATACAAAGAATATTATTTTAAAAGATCAAAAACAATTCTTCATAATAAAGAAAAAGAATATTTATTCATTGAAATGTTTATTAGAAATCTTCTTATCTTATTTATTGATTAATGAAAGAAAATAACAACTAACAAATATTTCATAACTATAATTTATTTTCCAAATAGATGATAAACATAATCATAAAATTGAAAGTTATTTAGAGTTTCATTCAACATACATAAATAGTTCATGTTCATATTAAAACTCCTTGTGAATCGAAGCAATGGAAAAAAAAACACTAAAAACAATGCTTTCACTGTTCTAGTACATTTCAAGATCTTCACTGAGATTTAAGTAGTTGAAATACGTCTTTGAATATCCTAAATAGCGTAGTTTTAGGCTTTTGCGTACATAAATAATTAGGTGATAGATACGAAGAATAATAACTAATGATATATTGATTGAGTATA